TTTTTTTTTTTTTTGTACGGACGATGGTCCCGTTTTAGCCCTTTTTTTTGTCCATCATTTTATTTTATGTAAGATGATTGTCATTTTGTCACCATCATTACTGGATAATAATTGGCAAATGATTTGGATTTTCACTGACGTAAATGGATTAATATTAAGTGAATTTTATCTGAAATTACTTAACCAAATTATGTTAATATTCAGTTAATTTATTCTTTTATTGACTTGTTTTTTCATTTTAAATTGTTAATGATAATAAGAAAACTACAGTAATTATAGTTGATTTGATGTAAAAATAATAATAGTAGATATATGACTAAATTATTATAAATTTTGTTATTTAATAATTATGTTGATAATATTGATAACTAACAAATGGTACAAGATGAATAGTTAACTTTTTGGAAAAAAAAAAAGTTACATTCAATTATTCGATGAGATTAGTGAGCGCGATTCACATAAGATTTAGATTGTCACAAAGTGATATAAATAGAACACTGTCCCAAATCGACCTGTATTCGTTCGCGATACAGACGAACTAATCCAGGGCCATGTTGAATTAGGACAAAAAAAAGGGGACTTTCAACTAAAAAATCATCAAAACATAACTTTATAATCACGCTCAAAACAACTCACTAACAACATAACATACTTCCTAAAGGGATACGAAATATATAAAATTGATTGGAATATAATTTAAATGTTTAAACTTTAAACCAACAAATTAATAAAAAGATGATTATACTATTAGAGACGATGAAAAATTGAAATGGTTTTAGTCTCTAGACCTTTTAGCTTATTAGGTTGTTAGCGACTGTTGAACCTATTAGGCTTTAGCCGCTTTAGGTAATTGGTTCTTTTAACTGTCCAAAGTATAAATATAAGGAGATGTTATGGAACCATCCCGTCAGGGTTTCTAACCATTAGATCAACTATCCCGATGGTTATATGATGATCTAACAACTACAAATCCCGACGAAATGGTTCAGTAACGTGACCATAACATTTTCCATAAATATAATATAGTATTGTGATAATAAATGTAAATACAGTGAAATATGTACTAAGTGCTACTAAAACGGGACAAACAACACAATCAAAAGATAAAAATATATGAAATTGATACCAATATTATTTAGAACAATTGAAAAAAAAAAAAATAGTAACCATATTGCCACTTAATTCTTC